TGTAATATCCCAAAATTTTGGGGTATTTTAGCATTAAATTGGGGACTTATTTGAGGAAAATATTGTTTTGGGGCTTAATCGTAAAATTTTTAAAAGTGAGGGACTAAAAAGAAAGGAAATTAGGATAAGGATGAATTGCTTTTTCTTTTTCTTTTTCCTTTCTTTTCTTCCTCACCAGCCGCGTGTTTCTGCTCCTGCTCCTCCCCGATGCTCTGCCCCCCGACCCTTTGCACCCGAGAAGCCCCCCAACTACCGCCAACCATTTTCCGGTCGGAAATCCGACAAAGCTTGGGGATTTCTCCCTATTTTCTTGTCTTAGAACACCTGTTGAACCCAGAAAATCCCAGATCTGCGTCTTCCTTCCTCTGCTGTCCGTCGGCTTCAACTTGTGGGTTTGAAATTTCTGGGCGTTTTTCGGCAAGAACAGCCCTGAATCTTCCTTTTTTCTCTTGATTTAGGCTTGGGTTTACCTTGAATTGTGTTTTGGTTTTTGGATTGGGTAGCCGCGAGTTCCCCTGCAGAATTTCTTCTTCTCTGCTGTCGGCTTCTCCCCCCCTGCTAGGCTCGGTTTTGCTTGCTAAATTCTGGTAAGTTGCCGGCTCTTCCAAGTCTAATTTATCCATGTAATTGTTGCCTTGTGTTGAGTGGATTTTCTGCTTTGGAATTGCCCTTTTTGCTGTCCGAAAATGGAAGAAATTTAGGTGAAATTGTGTGGGAAGGTGGAATGAATTTTGGTAGCTTTAAGCTATGTTGTTAAGTGTGGTTTAAGTAGAAAATTAGCTTATTTGAGAAATCCCGTGAATTAGCTATGTTTTGCCAATTTTGGGAGTTGAAGTTACTGTTCACGAGGGTTCACGGGGTACTGTTCATAGGCACTGTTCACACACCGAGGGTTAACAATTAACGGGGATTTAAAGGTTTAGTTTGTGATATAAGAATGAATTTGGAGATGTCCGGTTATGTGGAGATTGATAGAAATAGCACTATGAGTAGGGGTAGTGCTCACGATGATTTTACTTTGAATTTGTGGTGGTATGGTTATTAATTGTGGAATATTGTGATTAGGTTTTGATTGTTCTGTCACCGTAGCACTTGGGTTAGCCTTCGGTTTATACGAGTGAGGTAAGTAAATTATGGTAAAGCCCTTCGATTTCAAAGCATGTTTTTAATTGTTTTTGAGATGGTGGCAAGGTTTAAATTGATTTTATCAGCATCTGAATGTGATTAAACTGAAATGGAAATTGTGATGATTTTTATGAGAAATTCCTTGTTTTTCTGAAATTGAGCGTGATTGGAATGAAAATGAGGATTTTGTTGATTTTCTGGAAATGAGCATGATTGAGAAATGAAAATGAGAATTTCATTGTTTTTCTGGAATAGAGCATGCCTATTTGGGAATTGACGGAACTGTTTTGATGAACTGAGAGTTTGAAAATTCTGAGTTTTCTGTTAAATCCATGGTCACATGGAAATTTTCTGGGTTGTTTCTGAGATTTGAGATTGATTGTGAATGATGGATTTTTCTGGAAATCCTGCATGGTTTTGTCTCGGATATAGTCATGATTACTGACGCCCGCTAGTGGGAGCTGTAAACGCTAGCACATGTCGGCATGTATTTCTGTAGAACCGGTTCACCCTGCCTATGGGGTTAAACACTGGCACCATTACTGACGCCTGCCAGTGGGAGTGTGTAAACACTGGCAC